AGTTGTTCATGTGAGATTTATACATTTCACTGTAGTTATTTTATACCTCAACTGAAACAATTTGGATCATAACACCCATTTCTGATAATCCTTAGATTAAAAATCAAAATCTCCTGCCCATCTCCTACCCCCTGTCCCTTCACTCACTCCACTCCAGCCACACTGACCGCCTTACTGTTCCTAAAACACATGACATTCATTCTTGTCTCAGGGATTTTACCTTTGCCCTTCCCTGAGCCTTTCCTGGCCACTCTGATCCCACCCCCTCTCAGCCCTTACTCTCTGCCCCCTTAGCCTCCTGTGTTTTCTTCAAGGCACTATCGCTTCCTGACATCATATACACTTCTTTGTGTATTTGCTTCGTGGTCGCTCTTCCACCAGAATGTCAGCTCCATGAGTCTGACATTCAGTCACTATTCAGTACCCAGAACAGTACCTGGCACAGAGAAGACACTCAATACATATTTGCTGAATGAATAAATTAGCTTGGTTGAAATAGGAGCCATAATACACAAGATGATAAGCGCTCTGGGGATTAAGCCAAGGATATTCACTACTGGTCTGAGGATGGTGGTGGGGCGCAATCAGAGAAAAAATTTTTGGAAGAGATGACCCGGGTCTTGAAGCAGCATAGGATTCGATGGCCGAAGTGTGGAAGTGGGAATCAGGAGGGCAGAGAAAGTGGTGTGGGTTATTCCTCTCATCCCATCTCAGCTGTCATCAGACCCAACACCTTTCAGGGTGATGATAAAAGTTGACATTTGGAGGAAAGTCCTTGGCCACTCACTGTGCTGGGCATTACGTGCATTCTCTCATTCAATCTTCTCAACAAACCCAGGAGGTTGGCTCTCTCCGCTCTACTTTCCAGATGAGAATTAAGGTCTGGAGAGGTTTCTCATCAGAGGCACAGAGAGGCTAAGTCCCTAGCCCTGAGTTTCACGGCGAGTAGGGATTTGAACCTAGTTATTCTGACTCCAGAGCCACAGTTTAAGCTCCGCACAATCCTGGGATCTTGGATAGCTGAGAAACGCCCTCCTTGTGCTCACCAGGCTGCAGTGGCCACCTGACTATAGCTGAGGGGACTGTCCTTTCTGGTCCCTTTCCTACCTGTGTTCTGCTTCCTTGTGGGGGAGAGTGGCCAAGAGACTCAATAGGTGGTCCAAGGGTTCTGTGGGCTGGGTGGGGGAGAGAATGAGCTTATTAAGTAGCATTGCACCTTCTAGGCTGGTCTAGCAATGGTGACAATAATTTGGAGCGGTCAGAAGACCAGTGTAAGAAGATGCCTGCCCCCCTGATCAGGTAGGTGTTAAGGTAAAGAAGAGTGAAGAATTTAAGCAATACCCTTTGGATCCACTAGGTGTCGCCACCAAGTCTACTTTCTCACCAGGCTTGGGAACAGGGAGGAGGCGTGGGACAGGGGGAGTGGGCTAGAGAGCATTTCTTGGGGGATCTCTTCTGTCTGAAAGAGTCTATCCCCAAAGATGAGAAATAAATTTGACCAGAATAACTTGTATCATTTGTTCTCTCCATCTCTACTGGCTCTTTGCCATTAGCATTTAAACCCTCTCAAGTCTCTCTTTGTAAAAACATGTTCCTTGACCCACCATGCCTGCTCTAGTTACTGTGCCCTCTCTCACTTTAGTTCATGGCCAAACTTCTTCAAAGGCTTGACTCCACTTATTGTCTCCACTTCCTCATCTCCCATTCATTCCTTTTTTATTTTGTCTTGTTTCCCCAACTTTCCATCATGGAAAATTTCAAACATAGAAATGTTGAAAGATTAGTACAATGAATACTCTTAAACCTTTCTAGGTTCTATAATTAACATTTTGCTTTTGTTCTCCGTGTGTGTCTCTCTTTCTGCATGCACACACACACACACACACACACACTTTTTATTTTACTAAGCTATTTGAAAGTAAGTTGTTTCAGCTGGAATCTCCTAAGAATGACATTCTTCTACACATCCACCACTCTATTGTCATACCTTAAGAAAATCAATATATTTCTATGAAATCTAATTTCTAGTCTATATTTATTTTCCCCAGGTCGTCTCAAAAAATATCTTTAAAAAACGTTAAAAAAAAAAAGCCCTTCCTGGTCCAATCTAGTTCCATGTATTGCATTTGGTTGTTATATTGCTTTACTCTCTTTTAATCTAGAATAGTTTGTTTTCTTTTTTAATTTTTTAAAATGTATTGAGGAGAGAGAGAGAGAGAGAGATCTGTTGCTCCACCCATTTATGCACTTATTGGTTGACTCCTATGTGTGCCCTGACTGGGGATCGAACCTGAAACCATGGCACATCAGGATGATGTGCCAACCAACTGAGCCAGTGCTGGACTAGTCACATTGTAATTGTTCAATAGCCACAAGTGGCTAGCAGCTCCCAGTTGGACAACATAGTTCTAGTGGTTTTCTGGAGCATTAATATTCTAGAGAATAATACTTTATAGGTGATGTTAATAGCCAGAGGTTGGCCTATATTAGTGATGTCTGAGTTTGACTCCTGGTTAAGGGGCTACTACCAGATCTCACCATTAAAAATATACTTTTTTTTCTTTGCAGTTGTATCTGGTAATTTTTGCATCTTGAAAATATAGGGTGTCCCCATAAATGTATACACACACTTCAAATAGTTATAAAGGCAGTGCTTATTAAAGTATATTTCATTTTCAAAATTGAGCTATCAACTGTCAAAGTGTGTGTACATTTTGGGGAGGATACCCTGTATACTGTGTATCCCAATCATTCACTCTTTGTAAAACATTATTCTTAAATGTGTTGTGTAATATTTTGATCATACAAAAAGTTTCAAGACTAACATAATGAAGACCTGTTTCTCCACCACTTAAGAAATGAAACATGACCCTATAGCTGAGGCCCCGGGTACCTGTCCTCGATCACATCTTCTTCGTTTCTCCCCAGAGACAACCACTTTCCTGACTGTGGTATCATTTCCATGCATTTTTGTGAACTTTTACTACATATGTATACATCTCAAAACAATATAGTGTTTTGCATACTTTTGGGTAACAGTTTTATTGAAATATAATTCACATACCATGTAATTCACCTGGTTAAAGTATACAGGTCAATGACTTTTAGTATATTCACACAGTTTGCAATCATCACCACATTCAATTTTTGAATATTTTCATCACCCCGAAAGAAACTCACTGTGCAAGAATGTTCATAGTAGCATTATTCAAAATAGCCAGAAAGTAGAACAACTCAATGTGTGTCAACTGATGAATGGAAAAACTAACATGTGGTATACCCATAAAATGGAATATTATTTGGCCATAAAAAGGAATAAAGTACTAATACATGCTGTAACATGGATACACCTTAGAAACATTATGCCAAGTGAAAGCTGGATAAAAAAAGGTAACATATTGTATGATTCCATTTATATGAAATGTCCAGAATAGGCAAATCTGTAGAGACAGAGAGTGGATTGTGGTTGCGAGGGGATGGAAGGAGGGCAGAATTGGGAGAGACTGGTAATGAGTACAGGGTTTCTTTTTGGGGTGGTGGAAATGTACTAGAATTAGTAGTAATGGTTGCATAATGTTGTGACTATACTAAAACCACTCAACTGTGCACTTTAAGTGATTAAGATGAGTTCATGTTATGCAGATTTTATTTACTTGACTTATAGACATATCACTCCAATCTCTGTTTCCATCTTCACATTGTGTTCTCTCTTGTATGGGAACTTAGGGCTCACCCTAATCTAATGTGACCTAATCTCCATCTGGCATGACCTCAATTTAACTAATTACATCTGCAAAGAACTTAGTTCCAAATAAGGTCAAATTCTAAATGAATGTGAATTTTTGGAGGACATTATTCAACCCACTGCAAGATCCGAATTAAATGTTCTGACACGTGAAGTTATGACAGTGTCTAGCACACGGTAAGTACTGTGAAACAGTTATGGTCACTTCTTTGACCTAATTTCTTGCCTCTCCCATAGTTCTAGCTCTAACCACATCAAAATGCTGTTTTTACTGGTATTTTATTTTCTTTAAAAAATGTTTTAATCCTCACCCGAGGATATGTTTTTATTGATTTTAGAGAGAGGAAGGGAGAGGGAGATGTAGAGAGAGAGAGAGAATGAGAGAAAGAGACATTGATCAGTTGCCTCCTGTATGTGCCCCAGCTGGGGATCTAACCCTCAGCCTAGGTATGTGTTCTGACTGGAAATCGAACCTGAGACCCTTTGTCACGTGGGCCAATGCTCTAACCACTGAATATGCTGGTCAGGGCCAAAATGCTTTGTTTTTAGAATATGCCATGATTCTTGTTTCGCACATACTCTTCCTCTGCCTTGAAATGCTTTCCCTCCCCTCTGCCCCTGGCCAATTCCTACTTACCCATCAGGCCTCACTTAGAAGTTACTTTCTTTATGAAGCCCACTCCTATCTCCCTAAATCTGGGTGAGATGTCCCTATATTCCACCCCAATGGCTGCCGTTATCATAGAGTGATGTTATAGAGAATGGAAGCTTACATTAGCTGTGGTGGGTAGGGAAGACCCTCTGAAGCGGGGGCATTTGAGCTAAGGCCTGAAAAATGAGGATGAGGCAGAGTAAAGCCAACACACACACACACACACACACACAGCCTTGAGAAACCACTTGGTTCGTTGCTGCAATAGGAAGCAGTTCTGCACAGTGTACAGTGAGCGAAGACGGAACAGAATAAAAATGAGGCTGAAGAGCTGGGAGTTTAGATCCACCATCTCCCTGGCCCAGTCACCCTGATTTCAGGCACGCAGGGCTACATACCTGAAAATCTTTACCTTCGCACCTACTGATCCCTATGTCTGGAATGTGGTCCTTGCCTTCTCTGATTAATAATGAAATTGGACTCATCCTTCAAAGCTGAGTTTAAAACTGTTTACGAAACCTTCTCCCATTCTTTCGCAGGAAGTAATCACTCCCTCGCCTCATGCCCCAGAGCCCATATGTCCCCATAATACTAATCACATGCTGACTGTATTTCAGCGAGCTGTTTACATGCCAATCTGCCCCACCACGGGGAGTCCCCTGAGGCAGAGGCTGTCTCAGCCACCGCTGCAGCCTCTCCTGGTGCCTAGCTCGGAGCCTCGCCCACAGCAGGTGCTCAATGAATGCTGTGACATTTACTTGACGAGTGGGTGGTGCTTAGCACTACTAATGGCAGGAGGAAAACAAAAATAATAACAACTTCTTGGTTTAGCACACGTTTTCCCATTCATTACCTGATTGGAGCCTATGAAACAGTTGAGACAGGCACTATGAGCTCCGTTTTATAGATACTAGCTGAGGTCCAAGGGCACACAGGTGGTATATAGTGGGAACTAAAGCCTACTTCTGTCTCCTTAATTCGGATTCAGAGGAGGGGGCCGGCGGGGAAAGACGATGGAGAGCATTTTGAAGATACAGGGCGTAAGGCAATGGGCTCGGCTCCAGGGGAATGGTACTTTGGTGGGTGGACTCGGGAGGGACCCCGTCGGCTGGGGTGGAGTTAGCAGCCCCAGCAGGGAGGGCACAGTATTCCTCTCCCCGACTCAAGCAGCTGGAATAGGTTGCAGCACCATCCCCCAGCGCTGGGGCCCGGGAACCTCTGACCCTGCAAAGAGGAGCCGGGTGTTCACGGGTGTTCGGGTCAGGTGGCTAAGATGACGTTAATGCTGACATGTTAGCCGGGGGGCCTGCCTCTCAGTTGCTATGACAACCGAAGCTTGACTCTGGGGCCTTGCAAGGTTGACGCGTAAGGCAATGGGCTCGGCTCCAGGGGAATGGTACTTTGGTGGGTGGACTCGGGAGGGACCCCGTCGGCTGGGGTGGAGTTAGCAGCCCCAGCAGGGAGGGCACAGTATTCCTCTCCCCGACTCAAGCAGCTGGAATAGGTTGCAGCACCATCCCCCAGCGCTGGGGCCCGGGAACCTCTGACCCTGCAAAGAGGAGCCGGGTGTTCACGGGTGTTCGGGTCAGGTGGCTAAGATGACGTTAATGCTGACATGTTAGCCGGGGGGCCTGCCTCTCAGTTGCTATGACAACCGAAGCTTGACTCCTGGGGCCTTGCAAGGTTGACCGAGGCGGGGTCTTCGTTAACTCGAAATGAGGGAAGGACATTATGTGGTGTGTATGTGGATGCGCGCAGTGGAATAAAGACGAAAAAGAGGTATATTCAAGACCCTGTTTAGCTCACTGATTATCCACTTCAGAAATATTAGAATCCATCCGCGCAGTTTTAAAAAATATCCCGATGCCTACACCGTCCCCCGGACCCGTTAATTCAACCTCTGGGAGTGCCACTCGGGCATCACCATATATGTGTGTTCCTAGGTGATTACAATCGAAACCAAAGTTGCAACCCCTGCTCTGTGGTGGGAGGTGAAATTCTTGCGACCTTCCCAAGATGGCGGCTCCCGGGCCGCTTCCGCTTCGACGTGCGCCGGCAGGAGGCGGGCTTTCCGGGGGCGCACGCGCATAGCGTCTCTTCGCCCCGGGAGCCGAGCTCCTTTCCCCCCCGCCTCCATTTTGTTCGCGGACGCTGGGGACAGTGGGAGCAGATCTATTTCCGGGTTGGCAAAAGGGGCGGCGGCGGCGAGAAAGGGAGCTGGCCGGGCGGGGGTCGAGCAGAACGGGACCAAGTCGGAGAGGAGTCGGCGGCGGAAGACTTGCTGCCGGAGCCGCTGTGGCCAGGTCGGAAGGGGGCCGGAGGGGCTGGGTCTGTCGCTGAGATGACCTGCGGACCTGAGTGGGAGGGAGAGCCGGGGGAGGGGGGTTGGGCGTGGCTTCAAGAGGAGAGGGGCAT